AGAGAGAGAGAGAGAGAGAGAGAAGACACGAGGTGGCGAAAGCTCGTCCGTTTAAAAATGAGAAAAGTTCTTTTCTACGCATACTTTCTTTTGTCCTTGTTCTTCCTTTGCAATTTGTAGGGGTGAGAATTAAAAAAAAAAAAAAATGGACTAAACGATCGATCGATGAACTCAAAGTACACGCGAGGCGAGACTGATGAAGAAAATCGAGGTACCAAAGGGTGAGAATTTAGCCGGTAAACGCAGCCAGGGATAAGTCTAAAGAGAGAGGAAGAGAAAGAGAGAGAGAGAGAGAGAGAGAAAGGCGTGCACGTGTACAAGATGCTGTGTGTGTACTGATGCGAAAGAACAGAAGTGGATTCTCAGGATGCTACTCACCAACCTGAGACGACGACGCTCATCTTGAGAAACATCGAGGGGGTTGTTCTTCCTCTCGGCGGACAGGGTAGGGAACTACCGATCCCCCGGCTGCCTTACCGACACCTCTGATCTCGTTAGGAACGCATTAATTAATTTACAAGATGGCGGCGGCAGGGACGATGACGGCGACAGTATAAGAGAGGCAGCAGCCACTGTGTAAAATCGAGATAGCAGGGTTAGAGGTAGCAGCACGGCACGTTTTAATTACTAATTGAAACGTTCCCCTACCAACTTGGCTCTCCTCATCCTTTCCCTCGTAACATCCCCAGCCCTGGTGCTTCCTGCCGCGCTTCAATCCCATAACTCTGCTTCCTTTCTGCCACCGTCGACGTCGCCCCATCCACCATCTTTCGCCACTACTACTACTCCCTCTGTTACTCTCTCTTTTCTTTCTCTCCCCCCTACTTTTTCTCTTTCGCTCCACCACCCTCCTTCCATCCCTTCGTTGATTTCAGCTCACGGCTCTGTCTTAATATCCGTCTCCGTCGGGGGTACTTAATATTTTTAAATACTCTGCAGCACACCCTCCTCCGTCTGTCCTTTGTTCTTTTTCCTTCCGTCTCGTCTCCCTCGTTATATCGTCCCTCGGAGGACGATGGTTTCTCGAACCCCCTCCCTCGCTCGTCGACGCACTGCACTGGAATTTATGAGAAGGTAAATCCATAGCTACCGCGAATTAATTAATTAAAAACATCACGCTACCTTAATGACATTTGCCATCCCTATTCTCCGCCCTTCTTCTTCGACGTCTTCGCTGCCCGTTCTTCTCTTCTTCGATCTTTCCGCGATCTCTTCTCTCTTCGCTAAATTCCCTATTCACGCCGATCATGCTGTCGTCGTCGTCGTCGTTCTCGTCGCCTTGATTTTGCACCATTTGTTATGGAAATCATGGTAATACTAGCACCTACGAGAAGAACATGGAGGCACGGAGGCTAATGGCCACTTTTCTCGTTAACCCGAAGAAACAGAAGTACGTAACGACAGCGACGCACTTTTTTTTTTTTTCTTTTTTTTATGAGACACTTGAGGGGATTTTTTCTTACGGAGATAACAATCCCTTGAAGACTCTCTCAGGTTCGATCGTTCCTCGCCTCTCGTCGAGTACACACGGTGTTCTCGAATTTTTGATGAAGTGTATATGCATGTACTCCGAGTTTAGTAGGATGGGATGGACTGAAATTAAAAGAATCAGCTTAATTTATTCTACTTTGTCTCCGAAAAGAAATATTTCCTTATACATTTATACGATATTAGTGATGGTATATATTAATTAATTTTGTGTAAATGGATTTATACATGCATTATATACGCTAAGTATTAATTAATTTGTCCTTAATTGTTGTTCTTGATTTGTTTCAAATAGTCCCGTCAGACATTTCCAGGAGGTCGATTCTCAAAATGGAAACAATCTATCCAAAAGCAGAAAGATTTATCCAATTAACCAATTTAGATTTATCAGATTGAACGAATTTTTTTACTACGAATGACTGTCGTCTTTTCGTTTCATACTCGTTGATCATCGAGCGAAGTTTGTGACTCGATAGCGTATTTCCTTGCCCGCGAAAACTCGCGACGGTCTAACTTTCTACATCAGATTTCCCTCTCGTTAAATATTTTAACTCTCATGCCGTAATCGAAGAGAAAAACGAATAATCGGACAATTATTCTCCGCCTTTGTGCGAGAATTAAAAAGAAGATGACCCGCTCGCAACAAGCGTTGCGCGAAACAGCCGCGATAATGTTCTCCAACGAGGAGAAAGCAAGCCGGAAACAATAACGGTAATAATAGAATTTAAATTGATTTCGCGTAGCAAGTATGGTGGCCCTTATATCGTATTCGAGGCGAAGCTCGAAAGAGAGAGAGAGAGGCCCAGCAGCGGGGGTCCTGTCTGCGATAGTTCGGAGCAGAGAGGCGCGGTCGAGGCCAATTTCAACAGCACACGGCGACAGCGAATCGTTTCGTTTCGCTCTTTTACGATCGATTCGTTCGGCTCGCGTTTCGTTCCGCTTCGTGCGCGCCGATATTTACGCGCCAACGTTTCGTTCATCGTACGCAGCGCGCTTGATTTAATTCGAAAGCAAGAAACTCCCTCCCTCTTTATCTCCGTATCGTCTGTTAGCGCGAAAGCTTGGAAACCGCGCGAACGCTACGGGCGGCGTGACTAATCCGCGCGATTCGTCTCGCGTCTCGAGAAGATCGCGTTTCCAGGGCCCGCGGCTGCAAGTCGAAACAGCTGGAAACGCGATTTGCAATCGCGTCGAAACACAACCGTGTCCAAGACGGATTCTCAGACAAACGCGATGGAAAGTCGGTTACCAGGTAACCGATCAGATCACACGTGCGTTGAAACGTGTTTCATCTTGGCAAACGCGACGGAACTTAGGGTTTCATTTGAAGTTTTCGTAAGACTGATCGAAAGGGAAATTGGAGAGGGAGATTCTTCAAATTTGACGCGGCTTCGGATTCGTTCCGTCAATTTACAAACTTTGGCCATTTGATCATTTACCAGTAGAAAATTATTCTGTTCACATTGTACAAAGGACAATCGAAAAATAGCAGTTGAAAGTCTCACTGACATTGCACCTATCATTCTTTCTTCATCTTTTAAACTTATTATTTTGAACAAATGTATTTATCAATCTTACCAATTTTTTTCGACGGCCTAGTCGTGCATGTGTAACTCGTCGGGTTAATTATATTTCAGTCCTTTTCGAGGACCGCTTTAAAACAGCAACAGAGTTGCGTTTTAAAACAGCAACAATTTCGCGCTCTTTTCCAAAGCTCCAACGATATCCATCGAGAAGAGATGTGAAAGGTTGGTTCTCGCTTTGAGAACGAGGATTTTAGCAGAGAGAGAGAGAGAGAGAGAGAGAGAGAGAGA